ATATTACGGACGAGTTTTAACTCGTGGAACTTCGCAATTACGTGTGTCACTCTTACGATACTTTCACTCTACATTAGGGTGACCAGATTTTTCCATTAAAAACCAGGGCATCATCAACAAGAAGCCAGAACCTTAGTACAAAACTAAAAAGGAAAAACAGGACAACAGGATGGATAGAAAAAAATTCAAACCGGGACACATTCTGAAAAAAACGAGATTCGTTTTAATTTTGAAGCTTCATTTAGGGAAAAACAATGTTATTCCAGAGCCAAGTGTTCCACGTGAATGGCATTTTCCCCATACTACTGCGCTAGGGCGAAATGGTGCAACTTAATGCGAGAACATGCCCGATCTCCCTCCGCTAAATGTCATCAATATCGCTGACGGCCAAATCACGCTTTCAATGAATCCAACCTGGCAGGAAATGAATCTCCGACCACCTCCGACATGGATCCGCATTCTCTTATGATCCCGAGTCCCTTTGTGGAAGGAGTTTGAAACCTTGGTAGGATGATGAAAGCTTTTTAATTCAGTAATACTTTCGCTAGTCAATTATTGAAATCCTAGGTTCAAGACGGAGCAGAGCTTTGGTTTCAAATGAATGTAGGCAATTCGTCCCAAATTCGACTGGGTGCGTGGAGAAGTGAGCCTCTCGGTTCGGTCCGAGTTCGGACAATCGCCCGAAAACCGACCGGGTGCGTTGAATTGATAGTCCCTAGACTCGACCGAACTCTGAGACTTTTAGAAATTAGTCTGTACCTATATAAACGCATGCGAGTGTCAGTACAAGTGGAGATCAAAGTTCCAACCAGAATCTGAGTTCATGAAAATCTCAGCCCTCTCATAATTTGCAGTCGTGGGTCACAATTTCAAATTCAATGGGTTTTCATCATCAGTTGCTCCAGAGTAGGCTGGGGGAAAAGTTCCTGGTGATTGAAAATTTGAAGTTGCCGAAAAAGTCCTTAACATGTAACGAAGTGTCTTTCTTGCGAGAAATGGCTTCTAACACCACCACAAAAATAATAAGAAGCGATTTTAGTGGATAAAATTTCATTCCCAAAGAACAATGAAGAAAAGTATGAACACTTTGTCCCAACGTACAAGTGGGAAAGACGGACCTGACACTGCCCAACGCCACGCTGCAAGCGATTCCACGCAATGTCCTTGATGGGGCAATGTCCTTGATGCGGTAAGCCTTGCTCTCGCGTCATAGCCCTTTCCATCGAGTCCCTCCAAAAGTCACTCATTTACATATTCTTCTAATTTCCCACGGAATTGCAGTTGCAGAAGTGCCAAGATGCTGAGGAGAACTCGTCTGACATCCTACAACCATTCAGGACTGTTTTTAAAGTGATCTTAACTCGTTTTCAAGTTCTTCTCGACACTTCCCGCGTTTCTATTGCTCTTCGATGTCTAAATGATGCATATTATTGTACTTTACCAATATTCCCATGTGTAATTGGCGCCCGTCAGAGTGTTGGCTTTTTTTTAAATTATCTATGAAAGATGAATGAAATGGTTATGAAAAGTCACTGTCATTATTATTATGGGAACATGAGAATTTCCCTCCTGGGAAGGAGGACTGTTGAGAAATGTTGACAATGATATTAATACGCTGATCCCAGTTGATCCAAGGTCGAAAACCTCTGGATGAAATTCATGAGGAGGCGATTTGAGACACATTTTGGAATTTCCGGAGGAGGCAGAAGGCTCATTGGGGAACTTAATACCTGTATTGATGCGGTTTCGGCTGTTCGTTCAAAACGCGCCTGAAGTATGAGGTTTTCTTTTCCCCGCGTCTCGGCGGATTTTGGCCATTTGTCCGAAATCCGTCTGGATTCTGGGCAAAGTGCTCGGTTCATGCAGATGGCTTTCCTCTCCATCCAGCTGGATTTCGGACAATTGCCCGAAAACAAGCTTGAGCAAGGGGACCCCGTCCCCTCATCGCATACAGTCGGAATTCGGAGAATTGTCCGAAGCTCAGCTCGAATGGGAACCTCCTCTACTCCAGTATTTCGGGGATTCGTCCAAATCGCAATTGAAGAATCTCTTCTCAATTTTAGCCGGGATTTGAGACGAAGACATAAATCCCATTCCTACTGGATTGATCCGTGGTCCGTTCCACAGCCTAGTAAGGTTCCACGGAGGAAAGGTGGCCATAAAAGTCATTAGTGAACACGATATGAAAAACACGGCCATTTTGTCTCATAACATTGAACCATTTTACACAATACATGGCCACAGAGTAGCACATATCTCGATATGTCTCTCTGGTTGTGCTGGAGCAAGCAAATTTTCCTCGCATTTCTATTAATGTCAGCAATAATGGTCACGTTTGGACAATAAATTTTGAAAATTTGGCTGAAAGTTAGGAAGCCATTCCATTTGGAGTGCCTCTCCTTAACATTTCATCATATGTGTTGGCCAAGACACACAAATATTGTACCCGCTCCAACCAAACAACTAAAATGAAACCTCAAAATTAAAATGAAACTCGTTAAAAGTGCGACTCTCCTGATAAAACCGATAGGTCTGGTCACCCCAGTTTGCATGTCCGCTAAAGCCTTTTGAAATTTCATTTGAAAAAAATATGACGATGAAGAAGTGTGAGAAGCATTTTAGATGAGCTTTCCCTGTCTTTACCCCTCCTCCCCTTCCCTCTTCTCTTTGGCAGTCACTCACTTTAGGCCTCGAAATAACCCAAGCACCATCCTCAGGTCTGACGTTGGTCTACCTTTTTTCGTTCGATAGTATCTTAACCCCTAACTTCGGGGGCCAATTGGGCCTAAAGGGTTCAATCTTAGAGTATTCGAGTCATCCAGCTAACCTTACTTAGTGGGGAGCAGGGATATGAAAATGTCTGGGCGTAAACACATCCCAGGATGTCTCTTTCTTCCTGCAGCACAAGTAAATCCGAAGGATGTCTCAGAGATATTCCCTAGGGTCAATTGAGAAGTCCAGGCAGTACATGCAGGAGCCTTCCTATTCGCACAGGAGAACCCATTCTTTTTGAAGATGTCTCTATTTGATCTTGGAACACCTAATCTTTAGTTCTTAACCGATTAAGAGTGACGAATATGGGGGACGAAAATCCTGTTCCTAAAGAGAGCCCCATCATAGGAGACACATCTCCAAGGGACGAAATTTAGCACCTTTACACGAGGGGTCATGAATGAGGCCTTTCGCCCTTTGGAAAGAATGGGCTCAAGCCTCCAATCAAGATGGTAGTATCCAGACATGCCAATCACTCATCATTTAACAGAATATAGCGGAATAAATTAAATTTCTCACCGGAATATATTCTCTTTTCCTGGTGGCAGTTTTCCTGATGTACGGTACAAAAAATCCTTACTTATCCTCACGACAAATCAAGTAGATGAAATTGATAGAAAAGATCCGAGGTTGCAGATCGGGGCTCACAGGAAACATCTACCGTCGAAGCTACGCATCTGATTGAAGGCGACAAAGAGTACTGAAGATGCCAAAAGACATCCCTAAGATGTCTCTAAGACATCCTCCTCAAGATATCGGAAAGCGTTCGACTGCATATGTCTTCACGATATCCCCTCCAGGATATCCTGAAGCATTCGACAAAGGAAGTTTTAAAGACATCCCGAAAGGAGATCTGGAGAGAGGAACCAGGAAAAAAAATGCGAGGGAAGCCTGGGCGTGGGGGGGGGGGGGGAAGAGGGAAGATTCCAAGCAACCACTGGAATGTTACTTGATATTGCCATTCGGGCTTTTACTTCTACCTCCAACCTGTCTCATGCTCTTTACACGAGTGAATGATTTGACAAGAGGTTCGATGCTGATTCATCGGTGGGGGAGTTGGGAGACGGAATCATGACGTGTCATGCCTCTCAGCATTTCCCTCTTTTTCTCCTCCTCACCCCTCCAAGCTAATGTCTCCCGTCACCAATAGAATACATGGTATGATCAACATTTCGGGATCGTTTTCTTCCTAATGTTACGATGGAACCTATGGACTCTTTGGAACTATCTCCCTCAAAGTAGTTCCTATGGTCTTGTAGTCCTGTTGTTCAGCTTTTCTGCCAGGTCCAGAGGCATTTTCTTTTCGCTATCTTTTGTAACCAAAACATCTTCTCTTTTGAAATAAGAGAATCGTCTACTTTCTTCCAAATGATTTTCTGAGTATGGTTCAATTTTGTTCAATGGCATCGATTGCGATGCACCTAGCAACTACGTGCATTTCATCAATCTTGCATCTTCAAAGGAGAAAATGCAAAGGAGATTCGACGTCGCAATGGGAAATGAGCTACAACCGGAATCCGAGCCTCGTTGGTTTTGCAATTCATTTGGACATTTGCCCTAAAATTACGTACTCCTGTTAAAAGTGACACTGCAAATATTCACTGGGAATCTCATATGGCATTCCATTTATGGGTATACTGAGTAGAGAATTTCTTTCTGAGCCAATTTTGGTATTCTTCATGAACTCGGTCACCTCATTCATACGTAACCGATCGGCTGGGTTCGTAAATGAACTCCTTTAATGATATTTATAGCTTGCACCAATAGTTTTTTTTTCTGATTTGTCTACTCTCAAACTTTCGAGACATAACATTTCCCCTCTGGAGTCTCGCTGTATGGTCTAAGAAAACATAATGAGGATAATCGAGGAGCATATTTCGCAGATGTTCTTCTCAGATTGTGCTTCCATAGAGCCTGTGTGCCTCGGTCGAGGAATGAATTTTTCGAAAGCAAAGGGTATCTCCCCTCGAGGTTTCGCAATCGAAAATCAACCGAAGACGCTAGATTCCGAACCGATTTCATCCCAGAGTGTGAATTCAGCGACATGCTTCTGTTGGACGATTCAGATTCCATATGTATATTATCGAAAGTTCTCAAAAACTACTGGAATATCTACGATGAAAACCCGAAAACGTGGATCCGGGTTCTGGATTCGACACACACCTGTGGCCATACCGACGCGTTCCACCTTCCTTCCCTGTGAAGCCACACACACTTGTGTCGACTGTGCAGCTGTGACCGCATTCGAAGCTAGCTGTGGCAGCAGTTGCCGTAGCCATCAGCCGACGCCGAAAACGTGGGAGGCCGGGCTCGACTCGACCGGGTATAAACGAGGGGCCTGCCCTCGGGTCGACGCAGGATTCCGCGAACTCACGGCGACCCCGTCCGCCTTGCCATGAAGTTCCTCACCGCGGTGAGTTCCTCTCTCGTCTTTCCTGCATCATCCGATGGGATGCCGATTCACTTTGATGGAGCGACCCGGAGGTTCGACGAGTAACGACACGGTTCCTATTCTTGCAGTTCCTGACGTTCGCGACGATGCTGGTGGCCGCGTTGCAAGAAGAACTCGTCCAAACGGTTTGTGCCTCCTCGTTCTAGAAAAGAGACTCCAGACACAGGGAAAGGGAAAAAAAGGACATCGCATGATACATTTTAGTCAACTGATGAATATGGAAATGTTTTCTTGTTTTTCTTTGTTCTCGCGTTGCTTTCGTTTCCACTACTCGTGCTTTTCAACATCTGCGCTAAGGTCTCTCGTCAACCATTCGTGTCGATGCTGCTGAAAATCGTAGCAACCATTTCACCTTTTCTCACTTTTACACCAATACCCGCAGCTGACCGGGCGCGGTTCGTTCTCGTCGCAGAGAGCCGGAAACTGCCCCAGCCCGCCTCTCCTCGCCGGGTACATCGGCACTTCAAACTGCTATCCGAGTTCGCCGATCTCGAGCTGCGGCTCCGTGCCGGACTACGGCGTCTCCGCGGCGGAGAAGGACCAGATCGTGTATTACTTTAACTACTTGAGGGCATGGGTCGCCTCCGGCAAGGAAACGCGGGGAAGTCCCGGACCTCAGCCGACAGCCTCCAACATGCGACGCATGGTATCGTCAATTCACTTTCTTCCCTTTCATCCCTGTCCCGTTGCGATCGAGTTGCTTACGTCCCGTTCCGGTTGAAAATAGTTGCATGATACAAAACTTGCTATCGAAACTTGATTTTCCATCGCAATGCCGCCGGGATACCTGCTAAAGAACATCACCCCCAGCCTCCACACCAAAAAGATACAAAAGAAATTGGAAACCTGGTTTTTTTTTCCAGGTGTGGGACGAGCGCCTGGCAGCGACGGCGCAGGGCTGGGCGAACAACTGCCAATTCGGCCACGACCGAAGCGAGTGCCGCAACTACGGCAGTACGTTTCCCTCTCGAAAGTGCCCCCGCTTCGCCTTCACCCCTCATCGAGACTTTTCCCTCGCCCTCCCTCCCAGCTTCCTTCAAAGCAGCGGGCCAGAACATCGCCTGGAGTTGGGGGACCGGGGCCAAGGATTGGTGGGCGACCATCTTAGACTGGTATAACGAGGTTGCCAGCTTCGATTCCAGGAGCGTATCGCGATACTCGTATGTCCCTCTCGCTGTTTTCGCCAAGTAGGCATTTTCAGAGATCTCTTCGTCTGGACTCTTGCAAAGCGCAGTCGTTCTTTTCATTTGGAACGAAAACGAGGACCTAAGAACACGATCGATCGTTTCGACGATCGTCGTTTGATCGGTGATCGATCGTTTCGACGCGCCAGGGGTGACAGTAACCTTCTTTCTTTTGGGTATGTGTCGCCCTCGCCGAAAGAGGAACAGAGAAACAAATGAAGGCTAAATACATGTCGGAAACGTCGCACACGCTTCCTATCGAGAGCGATATCGTCCGTATGAACTCTTTCGCATTAGATCGTTCGACGATTCGAGAACAGTTGCTGGAATGCCCCGCGTTCAGGATAATGCTGCATCGATGATCGGAAGGAAGGGGTCTCAGATGGATGTCAAAGGTTTCGTTCCAGCGTGACATGCCCATGACTAAAAACATGGTAATCCTTTAGATTCTCGATGACGACGGGACACTACTCGCAGCTGGTATGGGCATCCACCTACGCCGTGGGATGCGGCTACGTCGCCTACGGAGGAGGAAACAAACTCTACGTCTGCAATTACGGGCCGTCTGGGAACCTCCAAGGGGCGACGGTGTACGGCGTCGGGACCCCTTGCACCTGCTGCCAATCTTCCTGCACTTGGGGTCTCCTTTGCGACTGATTGACTTTTTTTGCTGCTGGCCCCACGAATGGAAAATAAAACGATTCATTTAGGAGTGTGAGCATTCGACTCACGGAAAAATTGAGTTACACATCACATTCTCGAGAATTAAAACGAAAGAAACCAAGCGGTGAAAAGAAACAGACTTTCATTTTTTCCATCTTTATGGGAAATTTAAAGAAAACCGGGCATAATTTTCTCCCCTGTTCCACAAACCATAACTCACCTTACTTCTTCGCACGTAGACTTGCACGTGCAAGCGGAATACGTGGAATACGTAGTACAATGCGGTCATGCATTCACTCCACGCACGGCGCCATCACTTTCAGCAAAAATCTGGAGGCAAGGGACATCCATCCCTTGACGATTCTTGCAGCCACTTCCGCATCCCTCATCGGATCGTGCGATGGAAACTAAGAGAAAAAAAAAGAGATTCTCATAATTTATATTTCCGCACAGCCAATTCAGCCGCATCCAATTTTATTGTAATTAAAGGGGACAGAAATGCAGTCAACCCCTTTCCCAAATATATTTTAAATAAACGCTAGCTTTTCCCCTGCACATCATAAAATCCTCCCGAATGCTTAGAACCTGAAATGAACCGAAAGGCATATTATGGACCTCGTAAAAACGCCATTTGGTTTGTCTCCCTGTGAGTCTAATATGCACCTATTCCAGTGGGTGTGAAGTCATTGCGTGCAGGCTTCCTGTCAGTATTTCGAATCGGTCGGCAACTCACTCGTGATTGGGGGGAAGAGTCGTCAGAGCGTCATTAATGATCGGACCTTGTATGAGTATACTTTTGCGTCTCTTCGTTTGAGCGAGCATTTTTTCATTGATATTCCGCTAGGATGAGGTTCCCATCGAGCCCGTGCGCCTTCGTGGAGACACGAATTCGTGTATTGCACAGGGCATCTTCCTCGGAAGTTTCAGTACTCCACGTTCAATTAAAAGCGTGAATTGAGATTCCAAGATTTGGTCCTAGTGTGCAATTCCGGGTGTCACAAGTGCGTGTCATATACGGAACACAAACAGACCCGAAGACAGGCCCATCGTTCGTCCCACGTTTTCGCTCGATGATGAGCTGCATCAGGATTCGGTCCCAGCGGCACGAACGACACATGCTTTTATTGAAGAGATGACTTCTGAAGTGCGACGTGTCTGCGGATGCACAGGTGCATGTCGTATCCAGTACACGGATCCGGGTTCTGGATACGACACGCACCTGTGACTTCCCGAATTACACTCTGGGACCAAATCGGCTTGGAATCCCACTTGTGCGTTCCTTTGTGGTTGCAGTTCTGAAAGCAGGAAGTGAAGATGCCCTCTGCTTTTCACGAATTCTTTTCTCAACGATGGCGCACGGGCTCGATTGGAGCCTCCTCCTAGCGGGATATCGACTTAATGTGATCCATCGATCGAGAGATGCAAAAGTATACTCATACAAGGTCAGATCAAAAAGTTCAGAGATTCCATTACAAAAAATGTTTACCTGAGGTAAAATTCGGACAGTGAAACTGAGGCAAAAGAACGGGGAGTTTCCCAGGGTTTTTTTCTTACCTCAGTTTCACCGTCCGATTTTTACCGTTACCCTCTTATTTACCGCTTTTTTACCTACATTTTATAGCAGTTTTACCTCAGTGTTTCACCTCTACCCTCAACTTACCGCTCTTCAACACGTCATTTATTGTTTGCTGTCTATAGAATATCCCTTACCCCAGACATACCTCTTATTTCAAGAATACTCTGATGTACTTGTCACCTTATATGGTAGGTTTAACATTAATACTGAGACTATGATTAGAATATGCTAATCACATCACCCATATGGGTGCTGTGATGTAAGACTTACACGCGAGAATCACATCGTGAAATAGTCAGTAAAACACAACAGGGTCCATAATATGGGTTAAAGTTTATTTCATCTCCTGAGCATCTAGGAGGATTCCATGAAATGCAGGGAGTAAAGAAATCGATACCTTCAGATATATTTGGGAATGGGGTAGACTGCATTTCTGTCCAAGTTAATCACGTAAAAATTGGATGCAGCGGAAATCCACTCGGTACAAACGTGAAAACAGCGGACCAGACGGTAGACATTACTTGGTGGGGTTTCACGCCATATTTTCAACGCAATGCGGAAATATTGTACTTATGAGCCTTTTTTTTTCTCCTTAGTTTCCACTGTTTGATCCAATGAAGAATACGCAAGTACCCGCATGAATCCGCTGAGTCTTTCCATGTCAAGTGGTCAAATTTTCGCCTGGTTGGTTGCTGCAACGACTGGGACTTTGCTGTTAAAAATCATGTGTACTGGGGTTATGAGAAACGGATAAACCCGAAATTTTAGTTGTCTAGGGCCAACGGCTTTACAGATTTGTTCTTTGAAAGTTTGAAAGGGAAGGATAAAATGACCCCGCAAACAAATAGAATATCTGCCGTACTACTTCAGCTATGAATATGAATAACAGCTTATTTCAAAACTTGTAACCATGCATATTTAAATCTCTCTACGGGTTCTTCCGTTCTTTCGATAGAAACCCCAAAGCTTATATAGTTATATGCATTTTTCCCGTGAATTTTTTAGAGTCGAAAATTTGATTGTTTCATGAATTTAATAAAAACTATGACTCTTTGCGATTAAGGCACGGAAGACCCCGTAGAGAAAGTTAAATATGCATGGCTGCACGTTTTGAAATTAGCCATCTTGCATTCCAAAAGGAATATGGTACTATGGGGAAATGCCAGATATTGCGGTCGGTTCGTCACTTTTTTTGTTCTTTTTCATTCCTCTTCTCCGCAGTAACCATAGCGACCGGACAACACTACCCAACGCGCACGCGCAGCTTTCCGTCTGAGTCGGGGTGCCCGTCTTCCAAGAAAACATCCACTTCCCCTCCGGTCCTGGCTGCTGACGGATCCATAGTGGGCAATGGAGGAGAGCGGCTGCTCCCAGCAGCGTAGACAGGGTAGGTAGGCGTACGCGTGTACGTTGTATCTGGCATCCTAGTCTTGATAATGTCCTCCCATCTCCACGCGACGCGGAGGCGCTGACCATCGAGAACATTTCCAGGTCTTTCCATATAGGCCTACGCCGAACCAATAACAGCGATTATGTATTTCAAGATTGGATGATTAGGGTACTATGAATATATATAATGAATCTAGTTGTACAGGGGCCAATGGAATGCCATATTTGTGCCTGGACTGGTCCTCTCTGGTTAATCTCGTGGCAGATTTATTCTCAATTTTATTCTTTTTCTTCTCAAGCTGATCTGTCAATAAAGAATGAACACTCCGCATAGGTTTATAAGTCTATGAACACCCAAAGAAAGAACATTTACTCTGGGATTATACACCACCAGAGCCAGGCATCTTCCCACAGAATGTTGGTTCAATGCTGTCGCGGAACTTCCAGAATGATCCTTGACAGGAAAAATGCGGCAGCCATCAGAAAACGGACGCATCCATTTCCTGATCGTGTCTTTCGAGGAAGAAGCGTCTCCCGTCGCTGCGTCCAAGTCCTCTTGGACTCGGTTTCAATCTTACAAACGTCTTATAGCTTGGGATCAAAACCAAGGTCACTTCAAATTTGCATTAAAACTTCATTATGGTCGCTGCTGACCTTAACTTTTAAAAAGTATCATCTGAAAACATAAACCATAAAAACTAATTAAGAGGCTGTTGAGAGACAGGCAAGAAGTGATTCTTGAGATGCAAGCATTACTTTCTCAACACCCTTCGTACAATCATTTTTAACTCGGAAAACCAGTGATGGTTATCGTTTGTAATTAAATAGTTGAAAGCGAAAAACTTTTTACTTGCCCGTATACGGATATGATGCTACACTTGAAGGATGTTCACTTCCCGTGACAAACGAGATTAATTCACACTTCCCAGATTTTCCCCGAAAAAGCACAATATTATGAGAAAAACGAACTCCTAAGATCTTCGGATCGAAAAGACAGAAGCAATCAATATCAGTCTCAGAATCAGCAATCAGGTGTTCCACGTCTGCAGTCCACACGTGCAGCAAAAAATCTGGAAACACGGATCTGCAGGGCCGTATCGACAGATGTTCTGGAGATCCGGGTCGTGGGCCGATGGAGATCCCCAACCACGATGTAATTACCTCTCCAGAAACACTCATCCCACTCGTTCATAGTGACGTGAAATATGTATGTGAACATGTGTGGTTCTCCCTCGACCTCGGCGACGTGGCAGGCAACGCCTTCATCCGGTATAAATGAGCGGCCCTTTAGCAAGACGAGGCAATCCGGTCTTTTGACGGGGCAGTCGATACAATTCCAAAATGAAGTCCATCGCAAAGGTGAGTAACGCTTATTTTGCTTTCTCCAGAGTTTTGTCCTACGGACTCTATCGAAAAATGAGGGGTTTTCACGGCTCACGAGAGATTCGGTTACTCTTCATCCAGCTGGTGACAATGGCGGTGACGTTGGTGGCTGCGTTGCGAAACGCCCACGCCGCCCCGGTATGCATCTCCATACTCCATAAAACTAAACATTCGAGAAAGAGCGAATAATTCTCGGCAATATAATATTAGTCATACTTTATACGCAGGGTGCATCGATCACGCACACAGAGCGATGCCGAAAACGCGATACATATCGTTAGTGCTTTGTGGTTGAAGAAACTCATAAACCAGACCGCCGACTCATACTTGCCACGATCTCATCAATACAGCAACATTTACAGCTAGGCTTGGAATCCGTTGAAGGGCTCCTTCCCCCCCCCTCCCCCTCTCCTTCCCCCCCCCCCTCCTT